CTATGAACTGTTGAATTGAAGTAAATGGGATGCCAGGGCTGAGGAAGCAGTGCAGACTGACTGGACTAGTCCTGGTTTTGGGATTGGTTAAGACTAAAAAACTGTAACTTCTCTACAGAAATCTGGGGCAATAGGAATGATGTCACAAGATAAATTGTGTTCTATCTGGTAATAGAACTACATCTAAAATGCTAAACACAGTTTATTCACAACAGATGAACTTGAATTAAGGCTGCTTACTAAAGAGGAGTCTGAAAGGCAGCAGTTCCTAGGTATATAATCTCTGTGGGCTGAGGCATCATCTAAGCCAAATAAATATTTAAGTCACCCAAGTACCCATTCACTGCAGAAGACCCCAAAGAAATATATGGCACATTTCCCCCCCTTTAATAAATTAGAAATTGTATTATGGACATAAAACTCTGGAAACAAGTATAAGAAAAAATATAAAACATTAAATTCAATAAAAAATTTAATTCAAATAGTAACCAGGGAAAAGAAATGTTAACAATCATTGATAACTGGACCTCAGGTGCAACCTGACACAATGTTCACCTCCAGGGCTGGTTTAATCCTAGCCCATAATGGCTAGTTAGCACTTAACATTGCTAGTGTCAGGGAACAAGGGCATGCAGGGCTTTTGTTGCTGGGAGAGAAGGAACATGATGTATACAAAGGAAACAGGATCAAAACAACTGAATCAGCAGTATCAGGGGACATTTTCTACTGGTAATTTATGTGGTCAAGAGGGAAAGAACAGGGAAGGCTAGCAAGTATCCATAAGCAATGCAATACAGGTGGCCAGAAGTACGCCCCAATGATATGATGGTGAACTGGATTTCCAAAGCCAATAAGGGAAATTAAGTAAATATCATTATTAACAAATCAATCAATCAATCAATCAATCAATCGGTCTGTCTGTCCATTTCCCTGTCCTTGTCTGTCTCCTTAGTTCTAAATCGAGGAGAAATGAAGCATAGACAAATTGATGATCACTTAAGTACCCAAATCCGCAGAAAGGCAATCTCCTCTAGGTAAGTAACCATTTTTGTTGGACAAGTGCTAACAAAGGCTGATTCTACTGTTTAATGGCAGGTGCCTCTTAAGGAGAGGTGGGCTTCTTTGAATGTGAATTAATAGATTCTGGTGTTTTCTAAATCTAAAGCTTGAGTTTTTCAAACTAAAGGCATTCAGTATTTCCAAGTTTACCAACATCTGAATGCAGAGTAAATATGAGGGTATCTTAAAGGTAATTATTATACTCTGAGCTTGAGACAAAACGTTTCCTTGCCCTACTTTGGCTAATAAACTTCTAAGACATATGCATAAGCATTTATTTATAAAAATACTATTTATGTTTTAATAGAGATGGGGTCTTGCTATGTTAGCCAGGTTGATCTTGGACTCTTGGCCTCAAGCAATCCTCCGACTTTGGCTTCCCAAAGTGCTAGGATTACCGGTGTAAGCCATTGTGCCCAGCGTACTTATTCTAAAATGTGGGAAAATAAGTTTTTGGTTTTCTTTTGAGACAGAGTCTCACTCTGTTGAGTGAGTAGGGTAGAGGCTGGAGTATGGTGGCATGATCACAGCTCACTGCAACCTCTGCCTCCTAGGCTCAGGTGATCCTCTTACCTCAGCCTTCAGGTGCATGCCACTACACCCAGCTAATTTTTGTTTTGTTTTGTTTTGTTTGTAGAGATAGGGTTTCACCATGTTGCCCAGGCTAGAAATGAGCTTTTTCAAATAGGAAAATGATTAGGTAGTATCTAACTTTACTTTTAATGATGGTGATAAAGACAGGAGATTTAAACACTGTGGTTTAACAGGGAATTGGCCTAAGGGCCATCTAACAAAAGAATTACGTGACAAATCCACACTTGTCTCAGACTTCAGTGCAAGGTATAATCCTCTGTAATCTTTAATTCTTGCTGGATTTCTGAAGCATGAGACAGTACCCAAGCACTGTTTCTCACATACTCGTTATATGACATCCCAAAAGTATCCTATCTCCTTGTTCTCTTAGACAACTAGTCTTCGCAAAACAAACTTTAAGACATATTTTTTAAGTTTTACTGAAAGAATTGCACTGAACAATTGTCCAACTAAAATCCTTATAAAATAAATATAAGGTACTGGAGTTAATCATTACAAAAGAGCATAGGATAAATTCTCATTTAAGAAGTCGTTACTTTCCATCTTTATGGAGGAAGATAGAGCTATTATTGTAATGCCCCACTTAAGAGTCACAAATCATTACAAAAAATGAGTAAGATTGAGTAAGTACTAACTCTATTAATGGTGCTTATGATTTTATATAAAGTGAAACTTGTTATTAATTCATTATGTGATTTCTGTCTCTTTATGAAATTAGTGGAAGAAATAAAATTGTTAACATTTTTGGATGAAGCCACAGTCTGAGGTTCAGATTATGGTTCTTCTATTATTTTGGACAAGCTGTTAAAATTCATATTCAATTCTTATACTTTCACTGCTGCAATTTATTGACTGCCTTGACAGAATATGATGTAAAAAGAAATTTCAGAAGAATGTGACTTTTTATATCAGAATAGAGGAAGAGAAATCTATTTAAGGACCTAGAATCATTATTTAAAACAAAATACCATAATTATTTTTCTAATTTCCAGAGAAACTCCCTCACTAATTTCATTATTTCAAACCCACACATAAGATGAAATTAAACTGAAGCTAACATGAAACAGGTATGTATGTTACCTAATGTCCATTTTTCCAATGCTTTTATCCTTCTCAATTACAGAGCATATGACATCCTCATTCAATAACAAATATAACTTAGAAGACAGTAGCATACAATGAAATCATATCATAATAACCACTAATGTTTATCAAGCACTTAATACTTCCCATGCACTGAGCTAAACACAGATTATCTAAAAAGATGAACTTAATCCTCATGACAGATAATCCTGACAGATTAATGTATTGATATTTTCATTTTACACATAGATAAGGAAACTGAGGCCTAGCAAAAGTATGTGGCCACACAGCTATTAAGAGATAAAATCAGGCAACATAATGAAGTATTTGAAAGTAACCATAGTTAGGGACATGACTAATTTCTCTCCAAAGCTAGAAATATGTCTGGTCAGTTACTGTGGAAAGGTCTGGTCTTATCCTGCTGCACAGCCTTAGCAGATTTTATAGTAATAGTGGCAAGATCCCTCAATCATTAAAGAGTAAGTAATTGTTAAGCTTTATACCTTTAGGTAGATTGTCTCAAAAGGATAAACACTTACATAACAAGAACCAAGAGTCAAGTGAATCCCAGAGGTAAGGAAAAAGTGTGATGTGGGAAGATACTAGCTTTATGAGGATTTGAAAAACTGCAGTTATTCCCAAGGGAGGCACCACCGGCACTTGTGCGTGTGTACGCAAACGACTGTGTAGAAGACAATTCACTTTATGTTGTACAGCGCTGTCACATATGTCACAATACATTTAGTATCCTTTAACTGTTCCCCCTCCCAAATACTAGAAGTTCTCTCAATCCTTGTGACTACCCAATATATATATATCCCTGCACATGTTCTGCTGACCCTCACAGAGGACCTTGATTGCTGGATAAAATTGCTGGGAGAGAAGTAACTGACATGAATTGTACATTGTGCTCCAGGGACTCTGCTAAACGCATTCACACACATTCATTTAATTTTCATAAACCTATATAAGTGGATATTTCATCCCCATTTTACCAGTGTGGCCCCTGAGGCTCAGAGCAAGGTTATGCAACTTAACTAAGGACACACAGCCAGGTTTGAAAACAACAGTATGGCTCAAAAACTACACTACTCTAAGTTGGCCTTTTAAGCCATAATGGTGAGGGAGGCGTGACTTCCCTTTCTTTAAAGAGGTTCATTCGGAAAGTATAAATCCTTCTAAGTAGGAACCACGGTGTGTACCTCCTTATGAACCAAGGATGAATTAGTTCCCTAGGTTAGGAATAAGGGGCCACAGGCGCAGTGCCACAGAGTTACATGAGGTGTGTTCAAGATTTGGGCTGGGCAGCTCTTCTGAACAGGTATATATTAGAATGTGTGTGTACGTATTCCGGGGAATAATAGAGATGTGTTATGCTGTGCGAGGTTTATGTGTTTCATTTAACACACAGCAGTTAGTATACACCAGGCACCATTAAAATTGCTGGACAGGATCACATTTCAGCACGTATGTTAGGAAATGAGTGAGCAGGGTATGCACTGCGTGCTGTGTGGCGGGCTGGTGTCTGTGCAGCCATGTACCCAGATGATGGGTATTGGGCTGTGCTGGAAAGGAAAGGGCCGCTGTGATGTGTGTGTTTAGAGTGGCAGTTTGTGCCGTGGTACAGAAGGTAGTGTTTGAGGCTGGGGGAAGGGTTATACTGGATGGATGACTTGTGTGCAATGCATACGGGAAGTGCTGCACAGGAAAGACCGTGTATGTAGCACACATGTGCATTTTTTATGTGTTACGGATAGTGCCGAATACCGGAGTTCCTCAGGAAGGGATCTAGGCTGTGTCCTGGGCCTGTGTATGGTGCCTGTAGGCGCTGTGGATTGGGGTGCTTTATACATGTAGCGGTGTGTGCTGAAAGTGGTGCATACGAGATGATTCATGCGGTGTGCTGGGTAGGGACGGGGGCTGAAACGGTGCAGAGGAGGGGCCCGCGTCGTGATGTTGTGTGGAGCCATGCTGAGTGAGGTGGGTGGGGGGGTGATCGTGCTAGGTGACTCGCGTGCGTTCACCGTGTAACCAGAGGTGCTGTATGGAGAAGGGGCCCTGAGGGGTGGGGGAGCAGGCTAGCGTACTGTGAGACACCGGGCGGGCGGAGGGGCTGCGTGGGCGGCGGGCTGCCAATACGTGTGAGTGGAGCAGCCAGCCCGCTTCCTCACCCAAAGCCATGCCGGGCCACCCTCCCCGCCACCCTGCCTCCCGCCTCTTGCCTAGCCCTTGGACGCGCCCCCGGCGCGGCCGGGCCGCCCCACCTGGTAAAGGCGAAGTACATGAGGCTGACGATGGTGAAGCTGAGCAGGGTGATGGTATGCGGCCGGTAGAAGAAGTCAATGGTGATGTCCTCCACTTGCTGCTCGTTGATCATCCGGAAATGCATTTTGTAGTTCACATCATCCTTGCTTAGGGTCCGGCTCCCCACGCAGGACGCCATGGCCCGCCTCCCCGTCCTGCCGCGGTGGCGGCGGCCCCAGCCCGCGGAGGCCGGGACCCCGGGGGTGACTAGCCACAGTCGGCTAATAGCCGGACGGCGAAGCCGGGTCTGGCGCCCAGCAAAGGCTGGGAGCGGAGGGAAGGACAGGAGCGAGAGGGCGGGGTCGCGGCGCCGCCACCGCGGCCTGGGGCAGGGGGCGCCGCCGGCCGTCCCCACGCTGTCATCCCGGCTGAGGCATCTCTACGAACTCGAGAAGCCTTCAGACTCCAAGTCCACAGGACTTCAAGGGAGTGGCGAGCCGGAGAAGGCTATCTGCTGCCCCTGGCTGACTCTTTTCCGCGCACGTAGCCCGCTGTCTCCCCACGCAACTCGGCACATGGTCTCGCCCACTCCGGCCGCAGCCCACGTGGGCCGGGGAGCGCGGCTGCGCTGGGCCGGGCAGGCTGAGGAGCCGGCGTGCGGCACTGCTGGACTGGGCGTGCGGCCCTGCGAGTCGGTCGGTCCCGGGGTCACCCGCTACGGGGCGCAGGCCTCGCCACAGGTAAAGCAGGAGCTGCCTCAGCGCGAGGATCGCGGTCCTGGCAGGAGTTCAGGTTCCGGCGCACCCGAGTCCAGACCGCGCCCCAAGGCCTCAAGGGCCTTTAGGTTTTCGCGGCCCAGTCGAAGGTGATTGGTTTTGTTTTGTGTTTTTCCCTGGCTGGCGTGAAAACTCAACCATGTTGACTAATTAGCGCGGTGTGAGAAGCCTCAGGAGGGGGCTCTGCCTTCCTGCGGAAGTTTGGGGGAACTGAAATGGGCTAAAATGGCCTAGGAAGTATTGAGAGGCCCTTTATTAGGAAGCTACCCCCATACCTCCCTTTCTTTCCTGATTTCATTTATAGCCTTTCTTAGGTAGAAATCTTGAACCCTATTTCAGTGCCTTTTTCTAGCGAAGCACTAGGCACTCATTGAGAACCGTATATATGAATTGTTAATAGACTTCAGAGTTTCTTTTAAGGGTTTTCTGTAATTTTCCTGATGAAAGGAACTTGTTAGAAGACTTCCGGTTACCACCTCACAGGGCTTTTATACACATCTGCTTATCCCCTACCCGCTTTTGCGTACTGTGTAAGCCAGTGAGTTAACTGTACTTGCCATTGATTTATTTCCATTCCGCAAGCATTAGAGCAGTACAAGGCTCTGGGAGAGTGGAGAATAGTCCCTGGAAGGGTGGATCCAGGAATGAGACCCAGCCTTGCTCTCGTGAATGAACAATTAATCAATTGTTAAGATGTTTAGGCAGCAATGAAATAATGTGGAGAAGATAGTGCACTTGTAAATAAAAATGCAAGGATAAACATTAGTTGTATGCACAAAGATCTTTTAATGACGGGATGAAATTTGAAAGTGAATCTTCCTGATGTTTAAGGGGTATTGAGTGTGGAAAGGCTTCAGGATGAATTTGGGATTTCAGAAGTTTGAAGTAGGATGAAGTGCTTAGGCGTCAAAAAAATGTTAGAGCTGATAGGGGCCTTACGAATCATCGTATTGTACCCTTAGCCTTTTAAAAAAGCATTATTTGAAGAATGGTTATTGACCCCACACCCACCCCACATCATGGGCTAGACATTTTGTTAGACTGCTGCCAGAAACAGCCTTGTCAAGGTAGCACAACCGAGGTCTTCTGGCTTCCAATTTAGTGCCCTTATGACTACTGTGCAGAGAATGAATGTTGTAGGTTTGAGGGAAAACTTGGCACATTTGGAAGCCCATTTCCTACCAAAATCTGACAGAAACCACCTATCCCAGCAGGGTATTGTGAATACTTCTTTTCTAAAATCGTCGCAAAAATACTTATTTCTTTTCTAAAATCATCGCAAAATGGGCCGAGCGCAGTGGCTCACACCTGTAATCCTAGCACTTTGGGAAGCCGAGGTGGGTGGATCACGTGAGATCAGGAGTTCGAGGCCAGCCTGGCCAACATGGTGAAACCCCATCTCTATAAACATACAAAAAAGTAGCCAGGCGTAGTGGCGGGCACGGGTAATCCCAGCTATTCGGGAGGCTGAGGCAGCTGCCGAGAATCGAGAATCGCTTGAACCCGGGAGACAGAGGTTGCAGTGAGCCGAGATGGTGCCATTGCACTCCAGCCTGGGCGACAAGGGCGAAACTCCGTCTCAAAAATAAATAAATAAGTAATAATAATAAATAATTGCAGGATGAAAGGAGACTTTCACTTTCGTAAAATCTCTTTCAGCAAACTTCCCAAAACTACGCATCTCCAAAAGGAGATTAGACCCTCAAGTATTTGGTCTAATTTAAAGCATAAAACAAGCCGAATTCCACCATGTAGAAAAACAAAGTATAAAGTTGTAGGCCGCAATTAATTCAGCAGAATTCATTTGTATTTGGTTGTGTAATCAATAATAATGGCTAACATTTATTGAGCATTTCTTATATCCTGACTCTATCCTGTGTTTTATATGGATAATGTTATTTAATGTAAGATTATATGCATCAAATTTACCTTTCTTATTAGCTGGCTAAATATAAATCCCTTCATATTCCTGGAGTTTAACATAGCACTAGCCTTTCCTGATAAACATCTTTTTGAAAACTACTTTTTCAGTCAAAATATACAGGTATTAATTGCTGGTTGCTTATTTATTTCTGTTACTTGGTTTTGCTTGCTAGTTTTGACCTTTTCTTTTGGAAGGCTTTTTTCTTCTTTCCTACAGTGAAACAAAACTTGACAAAACTGGTTTTGTTCAATTCCCTTTGGAAGAACAGCTTTATCTGTGAAGTAATCAACAGTGTTCAGCCCTGAGAATGAAGCAAGAAACTGCTTTCACTGTTCTATATATCAATAATAATAATTTGATGATTCATTTAGGACACAGTAGATTTCTGTTTTTTCATTTTGGGACAAATTTATATACATAAAATATAAAATGCATTTGAATAATTCAGTGTTACTTTGATCAGCAATCTGCTGCAGAAACATCCTTCACACCAAATTTCAAGAACACTTAATTGCATCAGCTTATTCTCTTTAAATGATTAAATTAACAGATTAGTGAGGTCTGCTGTTATTTGAACATTTGCAGATTTTTGTTTTAAGCATTTTTCTTACACCAGTGATGTTGCATTGTTTTTAAATTGTAAAGTATATCTTTATTTTTCCACTCAGAAGTTCCTGTCTGTTGGTTTGTAACTGAGATTGCCTTGTTGTTGGATTTTCCTGTGCATAAGAAACATCTATTTTAGACTAACTATGTTAAAACACCTTTCATTTAGAAAAAAATAATTTACAGTTTATTTTTTTGTTGTTTGAATACTGTTTTAAACATTTAAGTAAATTAAGTTTCTCTTCTTTTGACGGTTATATCTTTCCTTTGTAGACTAAGAAAAATGGCTTTGTCAGCCCAACAGATACCCAGGTGGTTTAACTCAGCTAAGTTGAGGAGCCTCATTAATGCTGTACAACTCACAAAATGTTTTGCTAGACCAGGAAGAACATTGTTACATGGCTTTTCTGCTCAGCCTCAGATATCCTCTGACAATTGCTTTCTCCAGTGGGGATTTAAGACTTACAAGACTTCCTCCTTATGGAATAGTTCCCAGTCTACTAGCTCAAGTAGTCAAGAGAATAATTCTACCCAAAGCAGTCTGCTTCCTTCCATGAATGAACAGTCACAGAAGACACAAAAGATACCCAGCTTTGATTCTGAGCTGTTTCTAGAAGGTAATTCTGAACTTTCAGAAAAGTCTCCCTTTCTCTACTTTGGCCATTTGAACAAGCTACCTGTTTACATTCTGCTAGCCCATTTCAGGTAATATTTTGTATCAAGAAAGAAAAAGAATAATACCGGTTCTATTGATGAACTTCTATCATGCCTTTATTTTACTGGCTAAGAAAAAAAGTTCGTGGGCTAACGTGTAAGATTATTTTATAGCTGCACATATAAAACATTTGCTTTCTAAATACTTTGTTGTTTAGATTCTTAAAACAAAATTATTCTAGTGGTAATTAGTTTTATTAGGGTATAATTATATCAAGTAAAATTCATCTTGTGGGATATATAGTTCTATGAATTTTGACATACGCATTTAGTGTCTAACAACTACTGCAATCAACAAATAAAACAGTTATATTACTCCAGAAAGTGCCCTCATGTCGCTTTTTAGTCAGTCCTCTCCTTCCTATGGGTCCTATTCTAGGAATATTTCACTGGTAATGAAATAATACAAGGTTAAGTAGAATATGAAGGAAAGAGAGCTGGGGAGAGGGCAGGGAGGAGATGCTGGCTATAAATGATGAGAAAGGCTAGTTAATGATTAGAGGCAAAAAACAGAACAAGAAATCACAGACCTGATTCCTTACCTTAAGGTATTGTGTAGTTCTAAGTGTCTTCCATACTGCGTTTGATTTTAAAAAAACAGAAACAACTTCAGAATCAGCGCTGTACTAGAGAGAGTCACATCTCCTGTAGAGAGGACTACAGGTTGTAGAAACAATCATAGAAACCCTCTTAAAGATGTATTTGAGGGTAACTTGAAGGGGAGGGCATTGGGTCAAAACAAAGACTTTCAGGATATAATTACTTTAATCCATGCAATTCAGACTGTTGGCATATGTGTACTTTAGGCCAAGTTAACAGGCTATGGTAAACTCAATCTCTTTCAAAATGTGCTTGAAAGTTAGGTAATCTTTAGCATTCTCACCTACTGATTAAGTGAAGGAAAGGCATTGTGTGCTTTGAAATTTACCAACAAATTTCTAATCTTGGAGGAACAGTAGTTAGTCTGTCTAAATAGTTGTAACCTTACCTCTTAAAAGGTGAAAAATTGGGGTCTTCTTGGATGTTTAATTCTAAAATCATCCCGAGATTTAACCATTGAAAGAAGCAAACAAGGGAAGAGCTGATCTTTGTAGAAATAGTTTTAAGTGTGCATATTAGAGCACTAATTTGTTTCTTTCTTTCAAAGAACTGGATGAATTGCCTCCATTGTCTCCAATGCAGCCAATTTCAGAGGAAGAGGCTATTCAGATTATTGCAGACCCTCCATTGCCACCAGCTTCATTCACACTTCGAGACTATGTGGATCATTCTGAGACTCTGCAGAAGTTAGTTCTTCTAGGTAAGTTTGACTAAACTACAAGTACTTTTTGTATGTACTCTTCATTACTTTTTTTACTTTTTTAAATTAACAATTTAATCTATACTAAGTAGTATACAAACATAAGCAAAAGTCAAATAGTATAAAAAGGCTTCTAGTGAGAAACTGTATTCCCTGCCTCATCCTTGCTGATCTTGCATCCTATTCCCCAGATGTATCTACTTAACTTGTATCATGGTTTCTGTTTGTGTTCAACCTCCTCATTTTAAAATAATTGTTTATAGTGCTGTTGTTTGATTCATCAGCTTTAGACATCATTTGATCTCTTGTATGTACACATCTACTTTTCCTGTATTCTTTTCAATTCTCCTAATATAAATTACAATTTTAGATCAATCAGTAGTTAAATTATGACTATAAATATTGCTATCTGCCCTAACAAGAAGTATGCTATCATTATTTACCTTCCTGTACAACTTTTCATTTTTCCGGCATTAATAGTTGCCTTGTTCTTCATTTGATGAATTGTTTTGTTTGTTTGTTTCTGGGGTTAAACTTTTCCATACCTTCCAATAGCCACTCAGGACAGTTTTTCCCAGGTAACCCTATCAGATGATGTATTCCATTTCTCCAGAGTGGATTGTTCCCTGCTTGTCCCACTACCCTGACCTCCTTCCTGAAGCCACCGTCCTCCTGATTTGGACGGTTTCTCTCTAGGCCTACTCTATAGCTGTCTTCGCTTGTTGACCATTAGGTTGCACTTGGATCTGGATGGCTGAAGGGAACCATGGGATCTCACTCCAAACTTTAATTTAGTCATCTTATTTTTAGTCTGGCATTTTATTACAAACTTTTGCTTTCCTCATTTTCTCTGGGTTTGGTACTTCTCATACTTGATTTTCCCAGATAATGAATCTTCTTTCTCCTGGTGCATTGAGAGGAACTGGATTTGGGGGAGGTTAGATTTCTCCACACCGAATCCCCCAGTTTTTAGTCTGCACCTCATCTCTAATCTCTCAGATTTCTAGGGACTCCAATTTAGGAGACTTTGGAGTTTTTCGTGGTACTGATCACTTACCACTTGCCAGATTCTCATTTGCAAGCATTTCAGTGTCGTCTTTCTCCTCTCTGATAAGGCTGTTGCCATGCCTTCATCTGTTTTCAGATATGTGGGGATATAATCTCGTTTCCTCAAAGAAGGATCTTATTTTTTGTTTCTCATTCCTCATATTTTTGGGAGGTGATTTTTAACAGGAGAGGAAAAAGAAAAACCTTTGCTCTGTTAGAAACTTTGGGAGTCATCCTTGAATTTTTTTTTTTTTTTTTTCAGATGGAGTCTCACTGTGTCTCCCAGGCTGGAGTGCAGTGGCGCCATCTCAGCTCACTGCAACCTGCCTCCCAGGTTCAAGCGATTCTCCCACCTCAGCCTCCCTAGTAGCTGGGATTACAGGCATGTGCCACCATGCCTGGCTATTTTTTTAGTTTTAGTAGAGACGAGGTTTCACCCTATTGGCCAGGCTGATCTTGAACTCTTGGCCCCAAGCAATCTGCCTGCCTGGGCCTCCCAAAGTGCTGAGATTATAGGCATGAGCCACTGCACTCAGCCTATCCTTGATTCTTATTGCTTTTGTCCCCTCCCTCTTTACATCTAATTTAACACCTTATCCTATGGATGCTACCCTCTTTATTTCTTTCAAATCCGTCCACTTCTGTCATCCTACAGTCACTACCTTGTTTAGGTCCTCATTTGTCACTGAGTGGCTGCAGGAGCCTCCTATCTTGATAGTCTTCTCCTCAGCAGTATTGGCTCTGATATCTTTACAGTGTTAGTGTTCTTTCTGAAATGCAGATCTAAGTCAGTGACCTACTTAAAATCCTTCAAAACCTTCCTATGGCATCAAAGCTTGCCCTGATTTGGCTTCTGCTTACCTGTTCAGCTCATGGCTTGCCACTTCCCTCCTTTGTTTAGCCAACTCCAACAACTGGAGAACATCACTGAAGTCCAAGTAACTTCTAAAGTGTCTTCTTGACCCTGCAGACAGAGTGACCCTCTTCAGGCTCTCATTTCACTTCCTGCTTACTTTGATCCTAGCACTCATGACACTCCATTATAATTGTATATTCATCACTCTGTGCCCAGTTACCCAAATGTTACCTGTATGTTTAGAATGGCCTTTGTTCGCGGTGGCTCACGCCTGTAATCCCAGCACTTTGGGAGGCCGAGGCGGGCGGATCACAAGGTCAGGAGATCGAGACCACGGTGAAACCCCGTCTCTACTAAAAATACAAAAAATTAGCTGGGCGCGGTTGTGGGCGCCTGTAGTCCCAGCTACTCGGGAGGCTGAGGCAGGAGAATGGCGTGAACCCGGGAGGCGGAGCTTGCAGTGAGCCGAGATCGCGCCACTGCACTCCAGCCTGGGCGACAGAGCGAGACTCCGTCTCAAAAAAAAAAAAAAAAAAAAAAAAAAGAATGGCCTTTGTTCTCAAGAAGCTTCAAGTCCTCAGAAACATCTAAATATTAATGCAAGGATGAAGGGCAAAGTGATAAGTCCCACATGAGAGATGCAAATAAAGTGTTCTGTGAATCAGCCTAAGTGTCCATCAGTGGATGAATGGTTAAAGAAAATGTGGTATATTTATACATTGGAGTACTAGTCAGCTTTGAAAAAGGAGATCCTGTTATTTGCAACAACATGGATGAACCTGGAGGATGCTATGCTAAGTGAAATAAGCACAGAATGACTAATGCTACATGATCTCACTTATATATGAAACCTAAAAAAGTTGAACTCTTAGGAGCAGAGGGAGCCAGGGAGTGGGGGTGGGGAGGAATGGGGAGTTGTTGGGCAAAGGGTACAAAGTTTCAATTAAACAGGTGGCATAAGTTCTGGAGATCTATTGTCCAGCATGATGATGGTAGTTAATAATAATGTATACTTGAAAATTCTTAAGAGAGTAGATTTTAAGTGTTCTCACCACAAAAAAAAAAATGATGAGTATGTGAGGTAATGAATATGTTAATTAGTTTGATTTAATCATTCCATTATGTATTCAGATGTCAAAACATGTTGTACTCCATAAACATATAATTTAAAAAATGTACATTCAGAGGTAGGAAAAGGATGACGTCTGCTGTGAGGACGTCACCTTTCCTCTCGAAACAGCTTTCCCTGTCTTATGGCAGGTGCTATGGGTAATACAAGATAAACTAAGACACAGTCCCTGTCTTATCTTTTTTTTTTTGACACAGGGTCTTGCTCTGTCTCCCAGGCTGGAGTGCAGTGACACGGTCTTGGCTCATTGCAGCCTTGACCTCCTGGGCTCAAGTGATCCTCCCACTCAGCCCCCCAAGTAGCTGGGACTTTAGGCACGTGCCATCCTGGCTAATTTTTTTTTCTTTTGTAGAAGGGGGTGTCACTATGTTGCCCAGGCTGGTCTCAAACTCTTGGGCTCAAGCTCTCCTCCCACCTCGGCTTTCCAAAGTGCTGGGATAACAGGCATGAGCCACCATGCCTGGCCCAGTCCTTACCTTTAAATAATTTACAGTATACATACAGGTTTGGAATATGTTTCAGCCATTCCTTTACCTGTATGCTGATACTTCAACAGCATGTGTTAGAAATAACTTAAATAATAGTAACTTAAGGGAGACTTATTTGCTTGGTCAGACAGTATTTTTGAGTACTCAAGTCCTAGTTGCTTCTCTGTTTGCTTCTGAGACCCATTTTCTGCCTGATCTGTGTCCCAGGAGGCCAAACCCCTATGCACCAGGGTTCCTATGCCAGCTGGCTTCTTGGCAGCTTCAGCCAGCGGGAGGCACCTATAGGACAGAAGGTAGAAGAGCCAGGTGGGGATATTTTTCCCATGTTCCTTCCCTTCTTTGGGTCCTGTACCTGCCTCACTCCATGACAACAGCTCTCTTGAGCAGCCCTTCCTTAATAGCCTGTAGTCCCTCTGTGCCTTGGTAACATTTTGCCTCCTTGTCTCTTTAATGTTGGGAAGGTTCTTGTTTGTTCTCTTAAGGCTGCTCACACCGCTGTATAGAGTCCCTTCATTAAAGTCCTTGTCATTTGTGCTTTCTAGGGCACGTTGTATAGCCTGCTAGACCCTGATTGATGTACTAAATACGTGTAACCATAACTGAATACAATGGTAATATTCGTAATTACTGAACTGATGAGGTAAAGCCCAACTAGACTGGTCACCTAGAGGTTAGAATCGTTTACTATTCTTTTTTTATAACCCCAGTGCCTAACAGAAGTGCCTGGTCCGTAGTGGGCATTCAGGGACTATTTTTTCAAGTTAATGAAATGAAGTGAGCCCAAGTTATTTGCATTGAGAGCAGTGTGCATTCCTGATGAGATTCTGCTCTCCTACTGCTGCTAAAAAAGCAGCTTTTCAGGATTTCTGTTCGAGCACAGTCAGGGTGTGACAGCTCATGCTGAGCAAGGCACTTCAGTTCATGTCAGCTGTAATATTGAGTTAAATGTGAAGTCTGAACCCTTTATGTTATTTTTAAAGCATCTGTTCTCCCGTTTATCACAGATTTTTGGAACCGGTTTTCATCTTATTTATTTGTCCATCTAATAATTGGATTTATTTTTCTACTAATATTTAAATTACAAAAGAATTACATCTGGTTGTCAAAAGTGCAGATATTATAAGAGAAGGACCTCTTACCCTCTCTTCATCCCCAGTTCCACTTCTCAAAAGTAACCACTATTACCAATTCGTGGAAAAGCTTTCCAGACCTTTTTCTACACGTAGGTTTTATACTTTTCTGTAAACTTAATTTTTTTTAAATTTTATGTTTTTCTAGTAGAGTTAGTATATATTTAGATTCTTTATCTAGAATTAATTTCATATAAGATATAAAGAGAATGTTTTTTTTCAAAAGTATAGCTAGTGGTCCCATATATTTTAACAAATAGTCTATCTATTTGATCTGAAATGCATATTGTTGTATAATAACATTTTCTAGTTTATTCTGGATCTTCATTCTGTGAGTGGGTGTATTAGGCTGTTTTCACACTGCTGATAAAGACATACCTGAGACTGGGCAATTTACAAAAGGAAGAGGTTTAATGGACTTACAGTTCCATGTGGCTGGGGAGGCCTCACAATTATGGCGGAAGGTGAAAGGCACGTCTCATGTGGCAGCAGCCAAGAGAAGGGAGCTTGTGCCGGGAAACCCCCCTGTTTAAAACCATCAGGTCTTGTGAGACTTACTCAGTATCACACAACAGCACAGCAAAGACCTCTCCCCATGATTCAGTTACCTCCCACCAGGTCCCTCCCACACCACATGGGAATTCAAGATGAGATTTGGGTGGGGACACAGCCTAACCATATCATTGTGTCTATGTGTATTTAATCCATTTCACTGTTCATGGGCATCTTTTATCAATACCTGTTTAATATCAAGAAATTTGGATTTATAATCATATTTGGTTCTAATATTTGGAGTTATAATGAATATGATGATTTTTTTTTTTTAATTGTGGATGCCATTAAGAAGTTTTAAATGTGGAGGTTTAAGGTTGTATATTTTCTGCTTTGTTGTATACTTGAAGGGCTATGTGTTCACTTGTTCTCAAACATTTCTTGAGTTTCTTCAAGGGACTTGTCTCTGTGCTAAAGACCTAGAGATTACAATGATGAGTAAGGCACAGGGTCATTTTTATTCCCCCTATGATGGGAATCATAAACATATTTTTTAAATAATGCTTATAACTAAGGAAATAATAAAATCTTCAGAGACAGTAACATTTTATTCATATTGTTTGTTACCCTGCAGAATTACCAGTTACTACGGGGTTCATTAGGGACTGACAAACATTCTGAAACAATATTCAAGAAACCTTAGACAAAGATGATGACCCTACTCCAGTATGACTTAGTGAATTTGTTTTGGGGGGAAATGTAGCACTAAATGCTCTATTTTCCTCTGTACTTGATTTTTAAAATAAATACTATGTTGTTTCTGCAACCAACTTAGTTTAAAAATATTTAGAAGTTTCTATTGATCTATCTCAGTGTTCCTTTGGATAGGTATTGATCTCCATCAGTAATTTCTTGTGCTTATGTATATGAGTTTAACAGGTAAACTAAGAAGTCATCTTCAAACAGTATTTATAATTTATTATAGGAGTGGATTTGTCCAAGATAGAAAAACATACAGAAGCAGCAAACCTCCTTCTGAGACTGGATTTTGAAAAAGACATTAAGCAGATGCTCCTGTTTCTTAAAGACGTGGGTATAGAGGATAACCAACTGGGAGCATTCCTGACAAAAAATCATGCAATTTTCTCTGAAGACCTTGAAAATCTGAAGATCAGGTAGGACTTTTAAAAGGATTATCGGCCAGGTGCAGTGGCTCAAGCCTGTAATCTCAGCACTTTGGGAGGCCGAGATGGGCAGATCACGAGGTCAGGAGATCGAGACCATCCTGGCTAACACGGTGAAACCCCGTCTGTAGTAAAACATACAAAAAACTAGCTGGGTGAGGTGGCGGGCGCCTGTAGTCCCAGCTGCTTGGGAGGCTGAGGCAGGAGAATGGCGTAAACCCAGGAGGTGGAGCTTGTGAGCCGAGATCGCGCCACTGCACTCCAGCCTAGGCCACAAAGTGAGACTCGGTCTCAAAAAAAGATTATCATATAACCCAAGAAATGATTATGAAGGAAATATATGTGGAAGTTATTCTGTAAGTCTCTGCTGCACAAGAGTCTACGAAGATAATGAACATGAAAGTTATTTTTTTGTTATAGACCTTTTTTGATCTAAATTAAGTATTTACAACAGTTCTTTTATTCAACTACCTATTATTATTATTATTATTATTATTATTTGAGATGGAGTCTCGCCCTGTTGCCCAGGCTGGAGTTCAGTGGCAAAATTTTGGCTCACTGTAACCTCCGCCTCCCGGGTTCAAGTGATTCTCCTGCCTCAGCCTCCCAAGTATCTGGGTGATTATGGATAGCCACCAGGCCTGGCTAATTTTTGTATTTTTAGTAGAGATGGGGTTTCACCATGTTGGCCAGGCTGGTCTTGAACTCCTGACCTCAAGTGATCTGCCCATCTTGGCCTCCAAAGTGCTGGAATTTTACAGGCATGAGCCACCCTGCCCAGCCCCATTATTATTTTTATGTTTTCAACTTATTACTGAGTCAGTAATTAACTCTTTCTCTTTAGAAACTGGAATAAGTTTTTTTCTTAAAAAAATAAAATCATCAACAAAAACTAACTTATCTGAGAGTACGCTTAAAGATAAGATCTTTTGTAGTTTTTTTGTCTGGCCAATTTTTGTTGTTAGATGTTTGATATTGTCGTGGCAAATTACTATGTAATTTGCTTAATCATTTCCATAAGTTGGCTATTTTGGTTGTTCCTTGTTTTCTTCTTTAAAGAGCACTTTTATAAACATCTCTGTACTTCATTCAACATTCAAAGAAATACTGAATTTGTGAAAATAAATACAGTGAGATATTGATCCATGAGGTAAGAATCTTGCTAGGCATTGGGAATACCACAGAGAACAAAACCCCTGTCCCTAAGTTAACATTTTGAATTCATCATCACCCCCACCTGTCACCCAAGCCAGTCTGTATTCCCAGATTCACTGAATACCCTTTTGCCCAACTCAGAAATATTGGTATTAATTTGCTTTCTCTTCTTTTATCATCTACATCTAATAAATCATGAAAGCCCATCAGTTCTTCCTTTCTTATAGCTCAAATCAGTCATGACATTTCTCTGAATCTTTGCTTTGACTGTTTTGCCTCAGTTCCCCATCATACCACACCAAGACTACTGCAACAGTCTCCTAATTGGTCTGCCTCTAGTCTTGACCCTCCAGACTGTTCTCCACACTGATGTTGATTCTCACTACATTTCAGAGGGCTTTGCAGTTCCTTAAACCATCATAGTCTAATGTCTTTTCTTGGAATTAGGAAAAAAAACACGAAACAAAAACCGCATTTATTAAATTGAACATTTGAGCCCTTCTATATGCGAGACACTGGCCTAAACTTTAGATATCAGAGACAGTCTTTCCCTTCATGAGAGTGATATTCTGGTGTAATATAGATAGGCTATCACAATACAGAGGGGAGAGAGAATGATTCTAAGAAACTAATCTGACATATCCAGCTGTAGTCTTCCTGGCTGTCAGGAACACTAATTCCCTCTGCAGTCAAAAACCAGCCTTTTTGCTCAAGATTTATTCCAAGAAAGCATGAATACCAGGAGGGTAGGGATCATTTCCCAGGCTGCACTGTTATTGTTAATAGCCCCTTTGTACATGGGAGTCGCAGAGAGGTTAAATAATTTGCCCAAGATTACACACCGTTAGTATAAGTAGCAGAGTAAGTGGTTTCAACTCCAGTTAATCAAACTCCAGGGTTCTGACTACTACATACTGTCTCTGCATTTAATTCTTTGAAGGAAACTTAAGCTTAGTAGCTTAAGTTACTTGCTTAAGCCATACATGCTTCTAACAACTGAGGAATATTCTCACATAGGTAGCATAGTCCATTGATTCCTAATCATAGTCCATTGATTCCTAAGTTTTTTTCTTAAAAAAATAAAATCTGGCTAAACCTGGCTGGCTATCAAATTAAGCTGTAGAACGTTTATAAAAATTACTTAGAATTTTGTAATACGTCATGCAACCACATATATTCAAAAGAGTATACAGTAAAAAAAATACTGAATAGGCACAGGTGTGAGAACCTTTATTTAAATGAACTTTGTTACTGGTTCTGATGTATGCAGCAGTCTTATTTCTATAACAGTTGATTTCATGTACTTATTTTTTCAATAAAAAATTGTGTTTAAAAGATCCTTGTAGAATTTTCAAATGAATAATTGGCATTTTAATTATTTAAATACTCTTTTTTTTTTTGGTTGGGTGGGCATTATATCTTAATTTTTTATTGGAAAAATCATTACAATGTAGACAATAGTTTTGATAATTTTTTAATCAAATGCCAAACCTTGCTGCCAAAAAAACAACAAGTAATACCTCCTTTTCTCCTACTTTGTCCCTTGGCCTTCCAGGACCCACCTATGGATACAGCTGCTGTTATCAGGATTTTTTGTTCAACCTTCTAGGAATGTTCTATAAAGCATATATCTGTGTATACATACATGAATACAAATACATAACAGTTGGTAGCATTTATACATACTATTCTGTATCCCACTATCTTAACTATATCTCGGAGATTATTTTTTCTTGGTGCTGCCTATTCTTTTTAACTCTAGTACAGTCCATGCTGCGGATCTCCTTAGTACCTGTTGATAAGCATGGAGTATGTTTCCAGTCCACTGTTAGGACAAGGCTGCAGTGACTGACTTTGTATACTTCTGAAAAATCACACATATTGGTGTGTCTCTGTAGGACATATTTCTAAAAGTGGAAATGCTAGGTCAAAGGGTATGTTCATCTGTAACTTCAGTAGATATTGCCAAATTATCCTTCAAAGGGGTTGTTTTCCAGTTTATACTCTCCCCAACAGTGTACAGAAGTGCCAGCTTCCCTGTTATCCTCACAAATACAGTGCTATCACACTTTGCTTTCAGTTCATTGTATAGATAAAAAGAATACTTTATTTGTTGGTTTGGAGCATCAAATGTTGAAACATGGAATGTTGTTTGGAGCATCTTTTCATATGTTGAATTTCTGTCTACATTTCCTTTTCTGTAATGTATCCTTTGCTATTTTTTAACCAGGCTTTTTTCCTTTTTGGTAAACGTTCTTTTATATATTAAGAAAATTAGTTCTGTATCTGAGACATGTTGCAGATATTTTTCCTAGATTGTCACTTGTCTTTTGACTTCATTTATAGTGGGGTGTTTTTGTTGTGTTTTGTTTTATTTTGCCATGCACTTAAAATTTTTATATACTTAAATTTATAAATATTTTAACTATTTTTAAAGGAGTAATAGTCATGTGATTATAAAGTAATATAAGTTTTGGTATATAGTATGAAAATACCATAGGCTTTAGATGTAGGCATGCCTGAGTTCACATCTTAGTTTTGTCAGTAATTAGGTGATGATCTCAGACAAGTTATTTAACTTCCCTGAATCCATGTTTCCTCAAGTGTAATGAGGAAAATTTACCTGGCTCACAAGTTTTTTTGTTTTTCTGGTTAGAATTAAACAAAATAATATCCTGATATATTTTAGACATTTAGTAAAACTATCTTTTACTATGTTCTTAGATTTTTTAAAAAATAATATTATTTTATAGTCAAGCTTTCTATATTTTACTAACTTACATAGTTTAATTTTCAAAAACTTAGCAGGAAAATATCTAAGTTAACAAAATACATATTGAAAGACCATAGTAAAAAATTATTTATGAAAATACATATTCAGGCCAGGCATGGTCACTCAAGTGTAATCCCAGCACTTTGGGAAGCCGAGGTGGGCGGATCACTTGAAGTTAGGAGTTCGAGACTAGCCTGGTCAAGATGGTGAAACCCCGTCTCTACTAAAAATACAAAAATTAGCTGGGTCTACTGGTGCATGCCTGTAATCCCAGCTACTTGGGAGGCTGAAGCAAGAGAGTCACTTGAACCTGGGAGGCGGAGGTTGCATTGAGCCAAGATCATGCCACTGCACTCCAGCCTGGGCAACAGAGCGAGACTCTTCCTGAAAGGAAAAGAATAGAAGAGGGGAAGGGAGGGGCTCAGTAAATATACTAACCTAAAAAATGCTTCTCTCAGTTGTAACCATTATTTCCTTAATTTTCTTAATTTGTGTTATTTTCTTAATTTGTGTTTTTCTGTTCTTATCCCCCCAAAAATATAACAAAAAAACTTAAGCAGAAGCTATTTCATTCTTTCTTACCAAGTAATAAACCAGATTAATTGAAAAGAGAATCTAAAGGTTGGTGCAAAAGTAATCATGTTTTTGCTATTGAAAGTAATGGCAAAAACCACAACTAATACCTATTAGTGGATTTCAGAATTATTTTCTGTTTTTAAGTGTAAATGGAAACCATCTAGAGTTGGGTGAATGCTTGTTTTAAACATGTTTTTGCCATTGTTACAGAATGCTTTTATTTAGTTAGTAATTTAGGATGTGGGAGCCTTTTTAAAAATAGCTGTTATTTTGGAAAGCAGCATGAGACTGTGTCTCAAAAAAAAAAAGAATGTAAATGTTTATCACATGCGTATGTATTTATGTTTCTCTAGGGTGGCTTATCTGCTTTCAAAAAATTTCAGTAAAGCAGATGTTGCACAGATGGTCAGAAAAGCACCATTTTTGCTGAACTTTTCAGTGGAAAGACTGGATAACAGATTGGGATTTTTTCAGAAAGAACTTGAACTTAGTGTGAAAAAGGTAAAGAAAAGGAGAGAATTTGTTTATTTCTATGTCTGGTACATTTTAGTAGCTGATAAATCTCATGTTCCTAACAGATGCCCAGCCCATGTGAATCATATACATTTCTGGTATTTTTTGTACAAAAATGAATTATCCTGCTAGTTTAAACATAGAGCTACATCATTTTATAATACTTAATCAAACTGGTTCCTTCAGTTTTTGTTTTCTTTTTTTCCAAACAGTACTAACATTATATATTCCTGGGGTTCCTATCATTTTTCTGACTGGGTCATATTTTAAGTTTTAACTTTGTGTCTTATTAGTGCCTTAATTCTCCAAACTAGTTAAAGATGCACATATAGTAATACTAGATTGTTTTGTTTGCAACCACAGACTAGAGATCTGGTAGTTCGTCTCCCAAGGCTGCTAACTGGAAGTCTGGAACCCGTGAAAGAAAATATGAAGGTAGGACAACTTTAGGCTTTTGAGAAATCAGTTTCTTTAAGTGTTAAAATCCTCTGAAGAGAATAGATTTTGCTGTCATCTAAAAGAAAACTAGACTTTAAAATAAGTTATTTCTAAAAAGAGAAATAGGAAATTATCTTTAACAAATGTCTAGCAAGCAGTTTGTTTCAGTTAATATTTTCATGTTGACCAGGTATTAACATGAGTAAATCACCTTGCAGACATTGATACCCACAATCCTAAAGCAATAGATAGGGATATAAGTGGTACCCTGAAACTGTTTCTGTTGCCCATTGTGGGAGTCTTATGTCTTTGTTACCTGGGCAGTGTTACCAGTCTACGAAACTACTCCTGTTGGCCAGCATGACAGTCTGTGTATGTCTCAGGGAGTTTTGGAGGCTGGATCCAAAAGACTTCTGTGAAAAGAGTAACAGATAACACATTGCTCTCCTTTGCACCTGTCCCAATTGCCAACTCTCATTCTATCACAGAATGTACCAGACACTCTTTACTGTCCTTCCTGCAAGAGAATAACATGAAGCCAAGAGCAGTTGACTAGTTAGTATATAAAGCTGTAGTAGTATTTGAAATATTATGTAAGGGCTGTTTTCTGAGGTGAACAGTTCAGTCATTAAATAAATCTTTATTGAGCTCCTGCCCAAGCGCCATGCTGGGGAGACAGCTCCTCCTCCCAAGGAGCTTACAGTCTAGTGGTGGATCAAATCCAGAGTGATGGGGGCAGTTACTTGGTGGGCGCACACAGGACACTATGGAAGCAAGTAGAGGACCTGGCCCATGTTTGGTTGTTTAGTTCCTTATCTCTGCTTGGAATGTTGACATGTCATTTTTCAGACAACATATATGTCGGTGTGCTTGGGAGCAAAAGCTCAAAAAGCATTTTGATGATCCTGCTGCTGGAGGATCTGTTTGGTGTTGCCTCTGACCTGCAGCCCTCCCATGTCACTCATTCTCTCTCATAATTATGGTTGCCCCTTTGGTGATCTTCATGACGATCACTGTGTAGCTCTTTCTCAGCAGAGGGGTTTGAAATTCCGGTGACCCCAGGAGCCGGAAGCTGTAATTCCCTGAAGGCACTGGCATAGCTGTCTCCAAATTTTAAAATGTTATTTTAAGTTTAGAAGAATCATGGCCAGGCGCGGTGGCTCAGGCCCGTAACCCTAGCGTGGGAGGCCGAGGTGGGCAGATCACTTGAAGTCAAGAGTTTGAGACTAGCCTATCTAACATGGTGAAACCTCATCTCTACTAAAAATACAAAAATTAGCCAGGCGTGGTGATGGGCACCTGTAATCCTAGCTACTTAGAAGTCTGAGGCAGGAGAATCACTTGAATCCAAGAAACGGAGGTTGCAGTAAGCTGAGATCGTGTTACTGCACTCCAGCCTGGATGACAGAGCGAGATGCAGTCTCAAAAAAAGAATCTTGTCCAGATGCGGTGGCTCATGCCTGTAAGCACTTCGGGAGGCCAAGGCGGGTAGATCACTTGAGGTCAGGAGTTCACGATCAGCCTGGCCAACCTGGTGAAACCCTGGCTCTACTAAAAATACAAGAACTAGTCAGGTGTGGTGGCATTCCTCTGTAGTTCCAGTTACTTGGGAGACTGAGGCAGGAGATTGTGCCACTGCACTGAAGCCTGGGCAACAGAATGAGCTCTATCTCAAAAACAAAAAGAATCAGCGCAGCCTTGCCATGGTACCAAAATAACTATTTCTACTTATTCATAGCAAATTTACTTTCGTTTAGGTTTACCGTCTTGAACTTGGTTTTAAACATAACGAAATTCAACATATGATCACCAGAATCCCGAAGATGTTAACTGCAAATAAAAGGAAACTTACCGAGACATTTGATTTTGTGCACAATGTGATGAGCATTCCCCACCACATCATTGTCAAGTTCCCACAGGTAATGCCACTCACAGCTCTCTCTGTAAGCGCTGCCATTGCGCTTCATTCAGAGCTGCTGTCCAGCTGCATGGTTCTGTACACTGGGAAGAGTTTACAACTTTCAGGGCACAAATGTACATTTCCTGAGTAGAAATCAGTGATTAGTCTGTTTCCCTGGAGTTTCTACCTAGTCCTAGTTCTGTTTGTTGGAATCAGGCAGAACAAATCGAATGTAGTCTCTCTCATGTTTTTCTCCACTTAACTTTGAAATAGATCACTTCCCTTAAAGGTCTTTTCACTGCTACATGTACTTTTTAGTCACAGTTTATTTAAATCCATGAATCAATGAGCCATATTGTAATGATCCCCATCCCAATATAAAAGTGTTCCAGTTTGCCATAATGTCCAAGCCGTAATTATATTTTCTAAGCTAATCAAACTCTTGTATTCTTTACCTAGTGAGTGATATTATCTGCTGTTCGCAAGAATATTGATCTTGAATATTACTCTTTAAAAGCAGAAACTTTGTCTGATTTATACACTGCCAAATCCCCAGTGCGTAGAACTACACCTGGCACTAAGGGAGGCGCACAATTAATATTTGATGAACAAATGAATGATTGGATTTTATCAAAGTAATCCTTTTTTCCTATTTCCTATGCAAATAGCCACTCAGTATTTATTGGATAAATGACAAACTGAATTTTTATTTAAGTGATCCTTCTACTCCATTTGCTAGAACACGTGTGTTCCTGTTTTTGAAAAAAGATGGGTAAAACAAATATTACCTTAATACAGCTCTCAGAACTAGACTGCATTAGGTCCAGTTCCTTCACATACAGCTATATTTATTTGCCTATTATACTTCACGAGGAATGGGTCTCTAATATAGGATTTTCCTATTTTACCAAACATAAATATACTCATTATAGAAGTGTTAGAAGCCTACAATTTTGTGAATTTGACTCATGGAGTAATTGTAAAATAATCTTCAACAAAAAAGCAATGACAGTTTGTTTTTCCCTGGGTTGGTGGGTAATTCAGGGACCATAAATGATGGTAAGAATATATGATATTGTCCCCTCCTAACCTTCGTGGTCTGTCATTTTTCCAGTATATCACTGAGCATCCATCAGTGCTAGACACTGGGCACTGAGGATACAAAAGTCAAGCAGACATGGTCTCTGTTCTTGTGGAACTTATAATCGAGTGTGGAAGACAGGTTTTAAAATAGAATTGCTTTGGTCGGGCGCTGTGGCTCACGCCTGTAAACCCAGCACTTTGGGAGGCCAAGTTGGGCAGATCACGAGGTCAGGAGTTTGAGACCATCCTGCCTAACACGTGAAACCCCGTCTCTACTAAAAATACAAAAAAAAAAAAAAAAAAAAATTAGCCAGGCGTAGTGGCGGGCGCCTGTAGTCCTAGCTACTGAGGAAGCTGAGGCAGGAGAATGGCATGAACCCGAGAGGCAGAGCTTGCAGTGAGCCGAGATCATGCCACTGCACTCCAGCCTGGGCAACAGAGCAAAACTCCATCTCAAAAAATAAATTAATTAATTAAATAAAATAAAATTGCTTTATATGATGGTAAAGAGTCCTAATCCGAGCTCCTACAGTGTGATTTAGAAGTGGTAGGAGAATTATAGAAGTAATAACAGCAATTGAGTACTTACTGTGTGCCAGCTCTATCTTTATTGCTTTATTTGTATTAACACAGTTAATTCTCACAACAACCATGTGAGGTAGATGTTATTATTACCCCTATTTTACACATAAAGAACTTAAGCTTAAAGAGATTTAAGTAACCTGTCCAAGGTTACCCAAGTAACAAGGTTGGGGCACAACCACGATTAGAACTCCAGCAGTCCAGTTTAAAAACTGGACTTTTACAAGCCTTTTACTATGATCCGCTAGAAGTGACATTTGAATTGTCTGTAGAAGAGTGAGTGGTGTTTGAAAGATGGAGAGGAGCTTTCCAAATAGAAGAAATTATAAGCTGACCAGATGTATCAAAATCACTTAAAAACACAGATTTTTAGGCACCCCAAACCCTTGCTTCTGAGAAGCTCTATTGTAGAATTGTGGCTTCCAAATTGGGATTCTCAGATTCCTAGAGTCTGGGTGGAATTATTGGGGGAAAAAGAACAGAAAAATAAAAAGCTTATTAATGAAAAAATACATTAACAGACAGTAAGGCTGTGGACGGGCTGATATAGACTTTAAATTTTTGGCTGGTGTTTAAATCTCAGTGGCGTGGAACTAATTTTCTCATGCAGATAATATTCCTGGTTGGCAGATCTGACTTAGGATTAATTAAAAATGGGGAAAGAAGTAATTTAGTCATTTCAAAGAAGAGATCGTGGAAGGTAGAGGATAACAAAAGCAGTTTTAGGGTAATGAATGTGAAGAAATCACTAGGCTAAGGAAAGAGGTTATATTCAATATCCCCCAAAACCTTGGCTCTCCCCTTCCTCTGTGATTTTCTGTGAAGGCAAAGCTGAAGTCCACCTTAGGATAAGAGGGAACCAATAATTCTCAGGCTAGGGGCACTTTTTTTTTTTTAACTCCGAAGAATTTAATATGTCATTAATGGGATGAAATTTTTGTGCCAATGGCAAAGTAGCCCCTGGTGGCCAACAACCCTCCTCCTGCACCACCACACTCATAAAAAAAGAAGGGAGAAACACTTCAATCTGAGCAGTAACTTTTGGACTTGAAAGAGTACACAACTCTCTAATGATGGAGTAACTTTGGACCACTGGAGAAGTAAACATAATATCTACTCATAAGCTAAATAAATGCTTTGAAGTGTTATTATATTTAGGAAATTAATAATAGTTTGGGAGCACCAGAACCGTTTGTGGTTTTGTCTGTATGCTGGGTGATAGTTGTTTTTTGGTTTTTGGTTTTTGGTTTTTTGGGTTTTTTGAGACCGAGTCTGGCTCTGTTGCCAGGCTGGAGTGCAGTGGCATGATCTCAGCTCACTGCCACCTCTGCCTCCCGGGTTCAAGCGATTCTCCTGCCTCAGCCTCCCGAGTAGATGGGACTACAGGCGCCCGCCACCATGCCCAGCTAATTTTTGGATTTTTAGTAGAGATGAGGTTTCACCATGTTGGCCAGGATGGTCTCAAACTCTTGACCTCGTGATCCGCCCACCTTGGCCTCCAAAGTGCTGGGATTACAGGTGTGAGCCACCGTGCCCGGCTGGGTGATAGTTTTTTAAGCCAAGAATCACTGCATTGGAGTCATACTTTAAAAAAAAAATATGTGTGTGTATATGTATATATATATATATATATATACACACACACATATATATATATATGTATATATATATATATAAAAAACATCTTACATCTTCATTATCCATAATATTGTGATCATGGGAATTTAATGATCAGAACAAGGGCAGAATAGCAGAGACTGAAAAGAGAGATGTTCTGTTCCAAAAGCAAGCCAATCCCATGTTGAGGTAGCACCCTGTACTTTTTGTAGTCACTCTTCTCATAGTACTTTGGTTTTCAACAATTGTTTTTCATAGTGTCCTTTCCAACTGATCTGTTACTGTTTTCACTTGAATGTAGGGAAAGAGGCCTAGGGGTTGTGTATCATGTCCTGTGTTCACATTGTGTCTGTAACAGCCAAGAGGAGAGCTTGAGGCAGGCATAATATTGAAAGGGCTTCCTCTGAGCCTCGCTAGGGGGCCTCACAGATCTCTCAGGCTTCAGGGCTGTAGCTCAAGTCTGGCCAGATCTCCCATTTCTCTCTTCTTTCTGCAGTCGGCTGTAGAGCCTTGCCTGCTTCTGACTCCTTTCTAAAGTTGCTTCTCACTGTAGTTTTTAGGAGTTTTAGTTTGAGGCAGGTAAGACATATTTTCCCAGTTGCTCTCGCAGAGGTCAGATTCATTTCATTTTGATTCTAGTTAAGGGGAGGTGTGGGAATTTAAAAAAAGAGAGAGAGAGGTGTTACAGATTATGAAATCTTATCCTTTTTTTTACAATAACATCCTGATGTCTAACATTGGTTCTCAAACTTGGTAAATATCAGAATCATCTAGAGGGCTTATTAAGACAGATTTCTGAGTCCTGCTCTCAGAGTTGCTGATTAAGTAGTTTTGGGGTGAGGCTTGAAGATTTGCCCTTTTTTTTTTTTTTTTTTTTTTTTGAGACGGAGTCTTACTCTCTTGCCCAGGCTGGAGGTGGTGGCAGGATCTCGGCTCACTGCAACCTCTGTCTCCTGGGTTCAACCAATTCTCCTGCCTCAACCTCCCGAGTAGCTGGGATTATAGGCATGTGCCACCACGCCCAGCTAATTTTTGTATTTTTAGTAGAGATAGGGTTTTGCCATGTTGGCCAGGCTTGTCTTGAACTCCTGACCTCAGATGATCTGCCTGCCTCAGCCTCCCAAAGTGCTAGGACTACAGGCGTGAGCCACCGCGCCAGGCCGAAGATTTGCTTTTTTAACACATTCTCCTGTGTCTCTGGAGCACTCAATCTTCTTTGCCCACATTATAGCCCTTAATTATTTTATTATTGTTTTGTATGTTGATTTTGAATCCCTTTTTCTAGTTTTTTAACAGAAAATATAGGATTTAAATCCTCTGGCATTTATCCTACTTACTGAACACGTGGTTAGTACTTTGTATTGGTTAACCTATTAAAATTTTTGCCAAGTAAACTTTTTAATGTTTCATCCTCCAATGTGCAATGTTTTTTAAAAACTTTTTTTCTTTTCTAGGTATTTAATACAAGGCTGTTTAAAATCAAAGAAAGACACTTGTTTCTTACCTATTTAGGAAGAGCCCAGTATGATCCAGCAAAACCTAACTACATCTCTTTGGACAAACTCGTATCTATTCCTGATGAAATATTTTGTGAAGAGATTGCCAAAGCATCAGTACAAGACTTTGATAAATTCTTAAAAACGCTTTAGATTTTTATGTATGTGAAAATGCAATATTGTAAAGTGAATATATGTATGAATAAATGAATATATTTTTAAATGCCTCGGGTCTCAACTGATATTGGAAACCATTTGATACTGTAAATTTGGGTACATATACTGTGGTAGATTTTTCATCAAGTTCCTAGTGACTCAATTCTTGTTTACCTTTTCCTTCTTAGAAAATACAGCAAGTTCAGAGAAAGGGAGAGAGTTGGTTTACTTTAAGTTGGTGCTTTGTCATTCTAGTGAAGATGAAAACGGAGGATTTTTAAAGTGGTTTCATTATAAAATGGCTTTATTTCATTTGAACTGTTACAAGTTTCCAGAGCACATACTACATTAGTCATCTAATATCTACAGCTCAGATAATGCCACAAAGCACACTTCATTTTGGATTATCTACATTGTTAACTTCTTGAACACAGATATTCACAGTTGGCTAAGAATCAGGAAAAGGAAAGTGGAGTTTAAAGATTAGGGGCAATGAGATATAGTGAAAGGCTTAACTAGCCTTTGACTTATTACCAGTAAACAAAGATTTGTTTTCTGTTTATGATGTGTTATCCTGGGCAAGTGATTTCATCTCTGAGTCTTTGCTTTTTTATTTGTAAAACAAAGTATCACAACTTCAGTTGTCTACGTTATGATCACTAGATTGGGTAGACTGTTAACACTGGTAACCCCCATGAACCACACCTGGTATTTGCACTGTTGTGTAGTTAGTCCTCTCCCACACTGACTCTGGGCCAATGTGATTTGGCCCAGGGGACATTTGTCAAGCACAGGCTTGATAAGAATTTGCACATCAGGGCTTGCCCTCTTGGAACATTTGCTCTTGGCACCCAAAGCTACGGTATAGAGAGGTCTGGTTACTCTGCTGGAGAAACTAGGTGGAGAGAAAGATGTCTGGCCAAACCCCAGCTTTTTCAGCCATGCCAGCTGAGTACCAGACATGCATGAAGAAGTTATCTGGGATGTCCCAGCCTTAGCAGACACTACACTAAGCAGAACAACCCAGCTGAATTCAGAATTGGGAGAAAGTGTTTTAAGTCACTAACTTTCGGGGTAGTTTGTTGTGCTGAGGGTTTTGTGGTGTGCTGGATGCCCTTCAAAAAACCTCATGAAAAACTAAATTTGTAATTGGTCAGGGCCAGGTATAGTGGCTTTCCTGTTACATATTTTATTCATGCAACCGACATTTGAGTTCCTAGAATACAGTAGTGAGTGTGACATAGATAGGTGCTTTCATGGAGTTCGCCAATGGATGAGATCAACAAACAGGAAACAATAAAAAATAAGCTGGGGACACCATGGAACCATCCTGTCCTCTCTTTGTATGGCTCACAACCGCATTTTGCCTTTATGAATAACCCACTGAACAACCTTAGTCAGAATAGGCAAGTTGTGCTGATACAATGAACAATCCTAAAACTTCAAATGATTGAAAAACCACAAAAGGTTTTTATCTTTTACATGTCTCTTAGGACCACAAAGGCTCTGCTCCACATCATCTTTAGTGATACAGGTTGATGTATCCTGTCTCCATCATTTCTGGAGTGTTACCAGTCTATGGAAAAGGAAAGGAATGTGAAGAATTGCTCTTAAAGAGTTATCACATTTTTCTTGGCTAAAGTATCACATGGCCATGCCTAACTTTGAGGGCAGAGAAAGGCAATCCCTAATCCTGTGCTGGGAGGAAAGAAAACCAAAATTAGTTTTTGAATCAACATTAATGACTACCAGCAAACATTCAGTCTCTAGCTTAATTCCTTAGGAGCTGGATTTTGTGACAATTTTGGGTTTCTGATTTTTTGATATGTCTTTTCTTGTCACCTTCACCTGTAACCAGCAAGTAAAACGTAAAGGGTAGAAGGGAGGAGAGTTTATTGAGTACCTACCCTCTGCAGGGCAATGTGCCAATGTACATATGTATTGCATTTCTTCACATCTTTCAGACTTCACTTTGGCTAGTGTAAGATAGAAGAGATCATTCATCAGCTTTAGTGCTGCATACAGGACTGACTAATAGAAGAATTGTAGCAGCATGGAGATAAAAGAAAAAGGAAAATCAATAGAATCTTAGAACTGGAATGTGACTAAGATCATTAAATCTAACCTTTTGAACTTACGACGAGACAAGGTTCTATTCTATATTGTCCCAGCTCTGAGCTTAAAACAGGGGAAAAAAGATATCACCGAGTAATGGTAGAAGTTCACCAGTAACTATCAGTCATGCCAGTTCCCCCCAATTGTTTTCTGTCTCTAGATGTTTATGCCTAAGACTTCACATGTTGGGGCTGAGACCTTAATAGTTAGCAAATCTATATACTTTTGTCTTTAAATTATGTGCAAATTCTGCAATACATCTTAGATTTAATCTTTAAAAACCTTTTCTTCTGGGCGTGATGGCTCACGCCTGTAATCCAGTATTTTGGGAGGCCGACGTGGGTGCACCACTTGAGGTCAAGAGTTTGATACCAGCCTGGCCAACACGGTGAAACCCTGTCTCTACTAAAAATACAAAAATTAGCGAGCATGGTGGCATGTACACCTGTAGTCTCAGCTACTCAGGAGGCTGAGGCACGAATCGTTTGAACCCTGGAGGCAGAAGTTGCAGTGAGCCAAGATTGTGCCATTCAGCCTGGGTGATAGAGGCTGAACAACAAAAAAAGAGGTGACCAAAAAAAAAAAAAACAAAAAAAAAAAAAAAAAACCAACCAACCAACCAAACGAAAAACCCAAAACCTTTCTGACCTAACCTTCCACTAAAATAGCTAGATGTAGATCTTCAGCTGGAGAAACCCAAGGCCTGAAAGGCTTGGTGTCTTTCCTGGATTAGTAGTGTAGCATATGGCCCTAGAATTAAGGAGCCCTAAGTTTGCGTCTGGATTTTCAGATTCTGGAAGAAGAACCTGGACTCTTCTAGTCATGTCCTCTTGGACAAGTTATTCAACCTTTCTGAGCTTCAGCTTTCTCCTATCTACAATGAGATAATGACAGTACTTTTAGAATTAAATGACAGTGTAGGGGAGTGAGGGATCACGCCTTTGCTCTTATGTGGGCTCTTTGGTTGGATCTAGGAACCAAATTGACACAAGGCAGATTAACAAGAGAAAAGCATACTAATTTTACTAGTTTTACATGTGCATGGGGATCCTCACAAGAGAGTGAAGTGGCCAATGTAAGATGCCTTTATACTTTTTACACGAACTACAAATCAGAAGAAAGGGGATCTGGCTAGGGGCAGTGAATTTCTTGCGGAGTCATTAGGAGAAACGTGGGTGTGGTGGGGTGTAAACTTAGTGGAAGATAAGGGTTATTTCGGAAAGTATATTCAGGTCCAAAGCAGCTCCCAGTTTCCAGTCTCTGGTGATGGGTGCTATTTTCTCCCTCTGGTAAGGGACGGGTACTCCGGAGGAATCCTGGAGGAAACTTTACGGCTTGCTGCATGCAGGAAGAGATGGGTCATCAAACCCTTTCTGAAACTACAATTTCTCCAACATTTTCAACTCCAAATAATCAGTGTACCAATTCCATATATTTTTGGGATGGCGCATCCATCAGTCCTTCAATAGAAAATAAAACGATGCCCTTAAAACATTTAGCTTCCTGCCTGGCACAAAGAGCTGAATTCATACTGCCCACGCTCTCATAGCTATTAACAGCAAGTAACAGAACCCAGCTTTAAGCCTCGGTCTCCTAATTCCTGACCTGTGTTCTTCCCATCACATCACAACCAATACTTCTTGGAATGTAGCACGCAAAACGCCCCGCCTACTACTCCATTGGCCTCACCCTTGCCGAGAAGTGCACACGCAAGAGCTCAACGACAGCCGTCAGAACTGCGCCTGCGCAAGCGGCGTTTCTCGGTTCGCGATGTGGCGTAACGCGCCTGCGGACTGGGCCCAGCGTGTCCTCTATGACTTACCCAGAAGGCAACGTTTCATTTTCTGGTCAAAATGGCTGGCAAGCAGGCGGGTAAGTGACTGGGGAGTCTTCTTGGCGGGCATCGTCGCGCTCCACCGTTTATTTTCGCTGCAGCTCACTCCGTTTTCTCTCTTCTTTGTAAGTCACCAAGTTTGTCGCGGAAGGGAAAGTGGCGGCTTCAGTCCAGCCAAAAGGACGTGCTTCCCCACTCGTTTGTTGTTCCCAGGCCGGGCTTGCCTATATAGGGTTGGGGTGTTAACCCGCTGTTTGTGAAGGTGCCCGCGGTGGCTCTAACAGCCCTGGAGTTCCAGCTGCCTGTGCTCGGAAGTCCTTCCCCTCGGCCTTAGAAAAGTTAAAGGTCACAAGAAGATAACTAGTGGATGACTTTCAACCAGAATGAGCTCAGTGCTTTCTTCTATGACCCAGGTGCTCTATCGTGTGCATTGGCCCTATAAATTCTCCTGCCAGTGCCACGAGGGAGATATTAATTTCCCGTTTACGCTGATAAGACAACTGAGGCAAAGTGACCCAAGGAAGTAGAATTGGAAATTTCATTGCACCCCTCGCGCTTCTCAAACTGTGAATCAGAGACAGTCTAGCAAGGGATACGAGCGACGCTTCACATTAACCTTGGATTATCTAGAACGTCAGCTTGATCAGTAGGTTTGGAGAAATTTGAATTTATTGTAGGTTCAAACAAATTTATTGTGGAATAGAATGCAGATATTACTGGAATATTTAAAACAACTTGAACATTAAGTTGGGTTTCCTTGTTTTTTTGTTTTGTTTTGTTTTTTTGCTAATCTCTGCCCTCTGGCGGTACAAGTTGGAGTATCTTTTTTTTTTTTTTCTTTTGAGAAGGAGTCTTGCTTTGTCGCCCAGGCTGGAGTGCAGTGGCACAATCTCGTCTCACTGCAATGCAACCAAGTTGGAGTAGCTTTTAAAAAATATTGATCCTTTTCTCCCTGACCCCAGCAATTGTGAAGCTGTTAGGAAACATCAGGTTGCCAGAAACATCCGCTAACCTAATTGACATTGAGCTTTTTGGGGGTGGGGGAGACTTTTTAAATAATTATTTTATTAATTTAGCAGATATTGAAGGAGTCTTACTAAATTCAAGACACTGATTCTGTGCGTGTTTGGGATCTACATAGACCAGATCTCAACTCCCATTAGCTAACTGACCTTGGGTGGGATCACTTCTGTAAGTCTGCTTCCCTTGCTGTAGTAAGAGGCATGTAAATAAATCAGCTAATGTTGGTAAAGCAAATAGGAAAGTGTTTGGTGCACAATAAGTGTTTAGTGAATATTATTCTAGTCACTGATAGGTGGTTAAAAATAATCTGTCTTCCACAAGTATGTTTGTAGATTGTTGACTGATACTTGTTTTTCTAGCAGCAGTTTTATACATGACTTCATTTCCAAGGAGATGTGCTGAAGCCACGTAATCTGTAGTGCACTGAGTTTGCAGGCAAGGAGGGCTGAGTGAAAGGAGAGTTTGCTTTCCTTCCTTGGTAAGGGGCTAACGCTAGACAAAATTTTAAAAGAAAATGTAAACTTGTTCTACCTCCCCTTTTGTAAAACGTCTCTCCTAAAATGTCAGGTACGGTCCTGCTGTACTTGGACCCTGCTGGGTTACTTCATCAGACTCAGCCCTGTTCCCCAAAGAATTTTATTTTGTTTTTTTTTTTGTTTGTTTGTTTGTTTTTGAGACGGAGTCTGGCTCTGTCCCCCAGGCTGGAGTGCAGTGGCCGGATCTCAGCTCACTGCAAGCCCCGCCTCCCGGGTTCACGCCATTCTCCTGCCTCAGCCTCCCGAGTAGCTGGGACTACAGGCGCCCGCCACCTCGCCCGGCTAATTTTTTTTGTATTTTAGTAGAGACAGGGTTTCACTGTGTTAGCCAGGATGGTCTCGATCTCCTGAACTCGTGATCCGCCCGTCTCGGCCTCCCAAAGTGCTGGGATTACAGGCTTGAGCCACCGCGCCCGGCAAGAATTTTAAAATTACCCATTTCTCATCCGTTTTCAATACCTATTCCCTTGGGGGGAACTTAGTTGCTTAGGAGGAGGTAAATGGACTTCTTTTACTAATCCATATTAATGTTTAAATGACTAATGGTATCAAAATCCTCCCCAAAATACATATATTTTTAAAGAATGTAGCCAAATGAAATAACTGTAATGTCGAGTAAAATTTTTACAGGATGAGGGTCATTTAGACCTGCCAGCCTATGCTGAAATCTCACTCTCTTTTCATACAACTCCAGCTCCTTTGAAATGAAAAGTTTACAATTATTTCCTGTGATCTATTTATGAAACTACAAATGATAGAAATTTCCAAGTCCTTTTCCTATCTCTCACCCCTTCATTTCTGAAGGTAACAGGGCAGGCATAAGGGCACACGATGTACCTATGGATCTTTTGTACATTCAATGTTTGAGTTTACCCTCTTCTTCCATGACTTGCCACCATTTTCCTGCAGCCACTTTTGCTCATAAATAAAATAAGCAATTTTTATCAACAGTTTATAAACTTTTTTCTTTTAAATCTAATTCTTTTTTGATTAAATTCTTGCTGTATATAGTATATACTTTTAAAAGGAAATTTCTTTCTATGTTTGCATTCATCAGCAAGATAACTGAGTACTGGTTGCTTGCCCATCAGTGTGTTCATATAGTATAATTGTAGCAACTAACAGTGTGACAATGATCAGTTTCAGCATCAGGCAAGTGGCTGGATGGTATTCGAAAATGGTATTACAATGCTGCAGGATTCAATAAACTGGGTAAGCATCTGTGCTTTTTAATTTTTCTTTTTTTTCTGAGAGTATTGCTTTTACAAGTGTTACTGTGGTTCCAAAAAATATTTCAGTTCTTGTATACATCAGAAGATTTTAAAATTAAATCACATTATGTTAAATCCAGTTCCTTTTTAAAATTTTTTTGAGAGGAGAGGGATGAAAGCCTCTAAAATGTTTGACTTGGTAATGATTTAAGTAGTAAGACATTTTCCTTCTACACCCCTTCTCCCAACTCTACCACTTAAAATTTTATTTATTTATTTGGGACAGAGTCTTGCTCTGTCACCAGGCTGGAGTGCAGTGGCGCAATCTCAGTTCACTGCAACCTCCGCCTCCCGGGCTCAAGTGATTCTCCTGCCTCAGCCTCCTGAGTAGGTGGGATTACAGGCGTGTGCCACCATGCCTGGCTAATTTTTTTTGTATGTAGTAGAGACAGGGTTTCACCATGTTAGGCTGGTGGCGAGCTCCTGACCTCAGGTGATCCACCTGCCTCTGCCTTCCAAAGTGCTGGGATTACAGGTATGCGCCAGTGCGCCCAGCATTCCACTTAAAATTTTAAGTTTTATAAACACTGAAAGTAGAGATTTTTCAAATATTAAAATTTTATCATATCCATGCGATCATATGTTTCCTAAGCTTTTTTAGAACTTTGTAATTTGCCATGAACTTCATCTTTTGCTATTGAAGCTTGAAGAAAGTGTAAGCAAAAGTCACTGGTTCCTTAGTATACTATTATTTTAAGATTCATTAATACCTTGATCTCAGATTTAAACTATGAGAAAGTAGAGATGTGGTTTATTAATGTGTGTTTAAAAACAAAGTAAACATTTAAAATATTTTGTAAATGGTTTAGATAAAATATGAATTTTGTGGCATTGGATTTTAAGAGGCTCATATATTGTTTCCATAGTCTAGTTCAAGAAATAACCCATTATGTCAAGTAATAACTCATTACTTTTAATGGCAAAACCGCAATTACTTTTGCACCGACCTAATGTATGAAGTGCATTGAATTTCCATTGAACCTAGTGATTTGAATTCGATAGTTCACCAAAAGTTGTAAGTTATAAGTCATAAAGATATTTTACTAATTTTTAAAAAACGTGATTTTTGAGATGCATGTGCTATCTAACTTTGTCGTCTGTCATAGGGTTATTGCGAGATGATACAATGTACGAGGATGAAGACGTAAAAGAAGCCATAAGAAGGCTTCCTGAGAACCTTTATAATGGCAGGGTGTTTCGAATTAAGAGGGCACTGGACCTGAACCTGAAGCATCAGATCTTGCCTAAAGAGCAGTGGACCAAATATGAAGAGGTAGCACAGCTTTATCTACCTGACAATGTTGCTCATTAAGGATTGAGTTTTAGAAACGAGAAACATGTTCATTTGCGTGGTGTTAGAGTTTTCTGAGTCATGTCAAATAAATATTCTGTCAATAGTTTGGTGAGGTTAATAAAGCAAATGTTATTTCCGTTTTAGAAGAAAACCACATTGACTCTTATATGTGAAATGATTCTTCTGAAATCACTAAGCAAGTCTCTAATATAGAGAGCCAGGACTAAAATCCAGGTCTGTTGCCACCCAGGTCATTGTTGTTCTACCTCTGCACTCTGCTTCCTACTTAGATGAAAAGATCAGCCCATTGAGTGGCCCTCCAGATCCCAAGAAGAGCTTCTGTGAAGCAAACTCTCACCCCTTGAACTGCATTGAAACTAGGCGAAGGCCTGTAGACACTCATTTCTTTTTCTTCCCAAAAAGACTTCCCTCTCATAACCTATCAAAGCAACTTACCACACTATCACCACAGATTTGACTTTTTAAAAAGCAGATAGTTCTTAGGTTGAGAATATGTTTTCTAAAATTGGAAATTAAAAAGTAATTTTCTTTTTCTTGTTATCGAAGACCTGTTGAGTGTTTGGGATATATCAGTACGCAATGGTAACATATAATATTTCATTCATTCTTTAGGAAAATTTCTACCTTGAACCGTATCTGAAAGAGGTTATTCGGGAAAGAAAAGAAAGAGAAGAATGGGCAAAGAAGTAATCATGTAGTTGAAGTCTGTGAATGCAGCTGTTATGAAGATGGTTATACTTGAAACAAACAATTTTAAGAATTGTTTGGTCTGCAGATGTTTTACTTTAAATAAATGTCTATTGTAATGGCTGGAGTTTTTGAATTCCAAACCTTACACTGAATAACTACTGAATCCATTTACTGTTAAATTTTTTTACAAACTTTCAAGATATTTTTAGTCGTGTTTAACTGCTGCCTGGAGCTCAGAGGCCACTTTATCAGTTTTCCTCACTGGTTGGATAGCCTATCAGTTTATGGAAGGATATAACTTCCATAAGTTACATCCTTGTGGAAGCTACTGAATAAAAGAAGGGGGAGTACACCCCCTAGTTTGCCAGGATTGAGAAATAGCCTCTTCACTGCTATCCAAATAGATTTGATTTTGCATCCTATCATTTAAAAATAAATTATGTATTCACCCCAACATAGGCATGCTTAAGTAATACATATACTCCTGTGCTAACATGTATACTAGAAAACAAAAAGTAGACATTAGAAAAATGGAAGTATAAATACAAATCATACTTGTCCCCATATCCCAGTGACTTTTCCACTTTTGAAATAATTGTTATGAAGTTTAAGGCTTGGATACTAATCAGTTAAAAGTTTTAAGATCATAGGGTAATTTTTTAAAATATAAATTAGAATCATTGGCTTGGCATGGTGAGTCATGCCTGTAATCCCAGCACTTTGGAAGACTGAGGTGGGCAGGTCACCTGAAGGAAGGAATTCGAGACCAGCCTGGCCAACACGCTGAAACCCTGTCTCTACTAAAAATAGAAAAAATTAGCTAGGCGTGGTGGTAGGCACCTATAATCGCAGCTGCTCGGGAGGCTGAGGCAGAATTGCTTGACCCCAGGAGGCGGAGATTGCAGTGAGCCTAGATCACACTACTGCACTTCAGCCTGAGCAACAGTGGCTCTGTCTCCAAAAAAAAAAAGGAAATTAGAATTATTTAATGTTGTCATTTCCACTCCTGAATTCTGAAATGCTTTCTTTGGTGGAGGTGAGAGTGTGGAGCCACAGCTAGCAGAGAAGGAACAGTAGCACCTGCAGCCTCCCTGGTTTTCCAGGACAAGTCATTGCTGTGTGTGGTAGGAATGCCTTACTTCAAGTAACAAAACTGTGTGAGAAACAAATTTGTGTTACATTTAAAATTTGTAAAGCAATGAGAAATGTGTGTATCATGAAGAGCATCTTCAAATTTTTGCTAAAATAGCCTCTTAAATTCCCTAGGAACCCGCTTCCCCCACTAGTTTTTTTTTGTTTGTTTGTTTGTTTTGGCTAGTCAGATTATTTTTCTAAACCTGTCCTTAAATCATGTCAATTTTCTTTTGTCTGGTTCAAGACAACAAGATTACTTGATAATGGTTTTGCTCAGGTCACATTGTGACAAAGTTTTAATGTCCTACTTTGCAGAAGGAGGCCAAGAAGATGGGCTATCTAGAACCCCTTTTAAAAGCATTTGTCTATTCAGAAAATTTTCCTGAATAGATGTCTCCAAAGGCTCTTTTAATTGTGATTTCAAGATCACTTTTGCAGGACTCTGGTCTATTCGTTCAGACATCTACCATGTACGATTACAAGGAGACTAGAACTGAGGCATCTCAAAGAGTACTGTCAAGGTGTGTAGGGAGCCAGGTGGGTGGAGGGAGGCTGGGCTCTGACCCTAGAAACCATGCTTATGAATAGCTGTTAATGTTTAAAGCAAGCCTAAGGGCACTGCTGAAGGACAGGGGAACAAATAGAACTGACCAAGATTGAGGTATAACAGGAACCCCCAGGCTATCCACCTGCTCAAGGTAAAAAGTGTGGTATTACATAGGGCAACCTCTGATTTTGTAAGAGTTCTTCCTAAAGCCAAAGTGTATGCCTATTCTCTGTTTCCAGATTACTTCATTCTTCTAAATGAGAACAAGTGTGCAAAAGTTCTTTGAACACGATATCAATGTTTTGTGTTCATTGTAAATTATGGTTATCGTCCTGCTTGTTATGAAGACTAAGAAAGTAGATCTAGTATTTGGCTCACATAGGTGAATGGGTGAGAATTTGTTAATCCATCAGTGAAGTCCTTTCATTTGAAAGAGAGAGCCTTTCTTTTATCAAAAGCTGTCCTGTGTGAAAAATCACCATGAGAGCGCCGGAAACACACAGGCTGGTCCTGTAGACAGAATGATAGGGTGATTCCGAGCTAATTCTGGGTTAGACTGCACAGGTCTGAATCTTATTTGCTCACTGTGTGGTGCTTTAGGAATACAATTTAACCTCTCCGTGCTTCAGTTTGTTTGGCCCTAAGATAGAGCTAATGATAGAAACCTACTTTACACAGTTGTGAAGATTGACTACACGTCAAGCACTAACAGTTTTTGGCACATAGTATGCATAATGTAAATTATGTGATGAGAAGCGAGAAAAAACAACTTGGGAAAACGCTGAATATCACCAAAGTCTAATAGCTAACCGGTAGCTAAGGTCCAAGGTCTCCTCTCTTCCTTCTATGCGGCACTCTTGTTTCTGGTCCGTCTACTCCCCTTGGGTGTCACCTCCTTGAGTGAAGTACCTGCTGGAGATAAGAAGAGTGGAACTGGATCTGCATGACAGCTTTGATTAGGATGGAGCTAAGACTTGGCTATCTCCCTGTTTTGTGTTTTGGATGGGTGACATTTTAAAACTGCCAACATTAAAATCCTGCTAATTTGCTTTGTACAGTTTAAAATGTTTGATATCTTTTATTGTTTAAAGTTTGAGATTGGTTTTGAATATCCGGTTTTCCTACATCTTGAAGAAGGATATGTTTGTTTACTCTGAAGTGGTCTAGTTCTGTTTTTCTGTTTTACTATACTTTGCAAAAAAACAGATGGCTGGCTTACATTCACTGTTGTAGTGCACTACCTAGCATCACTCAGCCTTCCTGTTGTCAAGGTGTAGGATGTTGGACCTTAGGACCCCCAATTGCTAGCTCTGGTCCTGGTTCCAGATTGCATGGAAATATTTGGTAACATTCTTGCACTGAGCTATCATGGTCTGAATATTTATGTGAAGCTCTACGAGTGGTACCAAAATGTTAGTGATGGAATTTTCACTGATGGCACCTTTTCCTGTTTTTAAATTCTAGAATCTTAATAAATCCCAAGTGTACATTTTGGTAATGATTTCATTTAGCTATTTACTTTAAGGACTCCCTTTTAAAGCATTAACTCTGCACTAATTTTGACTTATGAAAAGATTCAGCAGTAAGAATAAAAACTGGGCCAAAGCCCAAAGTAATAATCCTTCACAAATAGGATGGTGTTTTAAAAATATGGGCATCCTGTGTGTAGCTTTGAAAATAACCAAAGTACTTGGAATTAAAAAGTTAGGTGAACATAAAAATTGTCATAACCAAATCCTTGACAGCTTGATGGATGAAGAGCAGATGAGTTTACACTGTATGGCAGGAGGCATGGATTTTAGGAGGGACAGCAACAGAGAGGGATGTTTAGAAAGTGAATAAGACACATAGCTCTTTGGAAAACAAGGAAAGTCCCTTTATTAGAACAAGGCATGAAATTCTGCCACTAGGTGGCGATGCCCCATAACTTTACAACTTAGGGTACATCACACCAGCACTATGGAAGATTTCTCCATTCTGCACCCCACCAACTCCCTCCCCTCCTTCATTTTTCAGGATGACAACACCTTAGAGGTTTATGGCCATCAGGAGAATTTACTACTAAGCTATATACTGATGTAATGAAATCTAATATATGTTGTGCAATGAATTATGAGATGTTATTTAGTTTCAGGATTTTATTACTTCAATCAGTTATGACCATATTTCCTTTAATATGATTGCACACTCTTTAAACATACCAGATGACTGTATAAGGAACACCTAATAAAGTCCATAGATGTTAAAATATTTTAAATGTTTTAATTTATATGCCATAATTTGTTTACATTCTGGTTATACTGGTGTTCATATTAAAATCCATAACATGTTAGAATCTGAGATCTCAGGTTGGATAGTGCCTCTAAGTTATATTTTACTAAGAAATTTTATTGTATTAGCAATTGAGCAAGGAAGAAGAACTGAATCGTTATAAGGTGGTTAATTTTTAGCATAGATGTCAGAAAGCCTGTTCATATTCCAGAGGCTTATGATAAACTATTTAAATTGTCATTCTGGATTCTGATTATATCTCCTACAGGGAAAGAGTGTATTATTTATTGAACTTTTTATTTGAATACATGTGCCTATTTTTGCATACATGTAAAAATGTAATTTTAAAATAAACCCCTGAAAACTTCTGGTAACATTATCCAGTTGAATAATTGTTCTGTTAGTATTCTAAGTATTTTAAGAAAATTTTATACATATCTATGACAATTGTATTCACAAGCCAAACCAAAAAACGATAATTATTTGTTTTACAAAGGAGTCAGCTTACAATTTATCTCTTATGCGTGCATTTAAAATGTGGTCTGCCACTAAGCTGGAAAGACTGATCTGAGGCCAATGATTTAGGCAAGTCATTAGTCTAAAGATTGGCTTCCTTAGCTATAAAATGAAAGGCTTTGACTAAAAAGTCTTTAAGACTCATTTCAGTACCAAAACATTCTGGGTCTGTGATTTAACTTACGCACTTTATTGTTGAGATGAACTAATACTGATGGAATACTAGCTTTGTACTAGGCACGGTTCGTATGTTGTCTCTTTTAATCCTCCCTGCAACCTTCTGGCATCGCTATAATTATGCCCATTGTATGGAAGAAGAAATTGGGTTTTGAAAGTACATTTTATGTTTGTTCATTATATAGTTTCATGGGTTTTTCTAAATTGATGTATGTGTTTATATTCCAGGCTAGGCAGAAGCTAGGTAGAATATAGCAGCCTCATCACTGTTGAAATCTGGGGCTAGATAATTCTTGTTGTGGGGGCCTCCTCTGTATGTTATAGGATATTTAGCAGCATGCCTGGCTTCTACACGGTAGATATCAGTAACACCTCCCACCTCCAATTGTAACAACCAAAAATGTTTTGAGACATTGTCTGGAAATGTCCCCTGGGGGAGCAGAATTGCCCCCGGCTAAAAACCACCAGTGTAGGGAATACAGAGAAAAACCGAGATGGTAGAGACAGGTATGCAATCA